GCTGTACTATCTTCATCGGACACTTGTCCAAAGGTAGGCAAAAGAGTATACTTAGAGATCTTCTGCGCGACAGGCTTGATTTCTTAGAAGTCCTAAAGCTCGCGATAAAGGCAGAGGCAGACGATTACAAGGACTTGGTGTGGAGAGGGATGAGGAGACGTGACTTCTCTCTCTACAAGGAGTATGCCACTGATAGATGTCMTGATTTCAAGGACTATCCCTGGTCGGAGAAGAATGAGGCCGTGGCTGAGGAAGTGAGGGAGATACGGGACATGGTAAAGGGATTGACGAGACAGGTTACAGAGATTGTGACCACTACAGGGGCCACGCCATACCGGGACAAACCTGGAGGGCCCTATTCACTTCGCTGGGACCGTAGGAACAATGATTCCTGGAGGAGTGTCGAGAATAGAAATCCTCGGACGCTGACTGATTATCGTACGAGGGAAAGAGAGAGAGACGATGAGCCATGGCGACGTAAGGATGATGAGATAGATCGAGACCGCAGAGATCGCGAGCCGTTTGCGCGAGCAAGGAGGCTGGATGATTACCCGCGAAGCCCTCGCTATGAGGCCGATCGGGGTAGAGGCGACTCCCGCGGCCGATGGGAGACAGATCAGGGCCGACGAGATGGATATAGGGACGACAGATACGAGAGATCGGACCGAGATGGATATAGGGACGACAGATACGAGAGATCGGACCGAGACGGATATAGGGACGACAGATACGAGAGGTCGGGTCGAGATGGCTACAGAGGTGRTAGGTATGAAAGAGGAGATCGGGATTGGGAACGACGAGATGGGTCGCGCGGACCGTTTGAGCGCGGGGGAGATGCGAGAGAGCAGCGCGACGAGTCGCGGGGGTGGTACAACCGAGGGGACCGACGCGATAAGTCACAAGGGCGATATGACTCGGGGGACCGCCGGAATGATTCGCGAGGGCGGTATGAGCAAGGAGGGTTTGGAGGAGACCGCCGCAACGATTCGCGCGGTCGGAATGAGAGAGGGGGATATGGCGTCTCATCAGAACCATATCCCAAGTCGCCTGAACCCAAGGCAGCCAGGAGTTCGATCTCAAGAAGCGCAGACGACAGGCCATCTACTCTCAGGAACTCATGCGTCTATTGTAGAGGACAAGATCATATCAAGAGGGATTGCCCAGACCTCAAACGGGCATTAGATGAGGGACTTGTCGTGCTTGACGACCGCAAGTACGTCAAGTGGGCAGATGGTCTGGGAGATGTATCGATGTTCCCTTCGATGAAGGAGAATGTCGAAGCAAGGAGAGTAAAACCGAGTAAAGAAAAGGAGCGGATCAGGAGCCAGAGCATCAAGATAACCTTTGAGGGGGATATGGCGACCACACCCATAAGGGTGGCAGCCACCAAGTCGGCGAGAGGGTGTACATCGAAAAAGACTGACACGGATTACGTGATGACGGAGAAGGACGGGCAACGAGTCGATGGAGAGGAGGTTATCCTTTCGCCGCGAAAGCGGGGAGTGAAGAAGTTCTTAATGAAGAGTTTGCTAGACAAGATTGACACGGTCGAGCCACTGAGGCGGGCCCTTCGGCAACCCATGCAGTGCTCTATTCTGGAGTACCTGGCGGCATCGAAGCCGGCTCGTGATGAGTTACAGATGATCACGCGGAAGACTCGCATACCGCTATCGGAGGAGGGTCAGGGGGCGCCTAAGGCAGAAGCTTCTACAGTAGCAGTAACGGGAGTGACTGCCAGAGCGGATCGCATGGCGACAGTCCTTCTTGATGGAATGGAGGGTGTGCCTCCAGACAAGTTTTATATACTTGGTAGCGGGGCCGTGGAGACGATTATAAATGATGGAGCGGTACTTGATGCTGTGATCGATAACGGAAGTGAGGTTGTCATCATAGACGAGGACCTGGCAGTACAGGTTGGACTAGGCCTCGATAGGTCATACCTATTCGAGATAGAGACGGCTGATGGGAGAAAGCAACAGATCACTGGGGTTTGTCACAAGGCAGCCATAGAGGTCCAAGGGGTACGAGTGACCCTGCCTGTCTTTGCAGTCAAGAACTGCAGCTCCGACCTGCTCTTGGGTCGAACGTGGCTGAGCCACGTGCATGCGGTGACAATAGAGCGACCTGATGGGAGCCAAACATTGTCGATTAGGAAGTCAGACGGGACACGGGTAATGATTGAGACAGTGGAGCCTCGGGACCCGAGGAACAGAGCAACTCTCGCTGTGGGTGCAAGACCCAGTGATCAGATTAAGTCGTTGTCTATCTCCATCTGCGAGGTGCGATTTCGCGAAAAGAAATATGGACCACTGCTCACAGAGGAAGAAGGTCGGGTGGTGGAGGTAGAAGACTTAGGGAGTTGGCTAATAGTGGACGGCAATTCGTACCCGAAGGAAAAAGATGAGGAATTTGGCGGTGTGGTATCCGTGTCTTTTTTAAGGGCACGGCCCCCTATGGGGGGCTACCCAAGCGACACAAGCGAGTAGCTCAAAAAGTTAAGCCAGCGGCGGTGGGCCGCGAGCGATCTGCACTGGAAGGGATATCGGAAGAAGAGATCGCGAAAGAAATCAAAGAAAGAAAGAGAAAGGAGCCACAACGCCTAACGGAAGAGAGGATATCGGAGATGGAAATCTGACCCCACAGGAGCGAGATTGTGTGATAGAAATTCTGAAGACATATGATAAGGCAATAACTTTCAGCGACGCGGAGCGCGGTAGGATTAACCCTCGATACACTAAGCCAGCGAGGATTTACACGATTCCACATGTCCCTTGGAATGACGCAGGATGGAAATACGCCCAGAAGGAGAAGGAAGAAGTTATCGCTTTCCTGAAAGAAAAGATGGTTTCCCATGTTGCGGAGCCATCTGATAGCGCTTATGCTAATCGATGGTTCTTCCTACGAAAACCGAATGACAAGATCCGATGGATCCAGGACCTTCAGAAGATCAACGAGGTGACGATACGAGACGTCGGCTCCGTGCCACACGCCGATTTACTGGCAGAAGGCGCAGCAGGTAGGTCGATTTATTCGGTCCGTGATCTGTTCTCAAGCTATGATGAGGTACCGCTTGATCCTATGGACCTCACGGCTATGCATACGCCATTGAGACTAATACAAATGATGGTTGTCCCTATGGGTTGGACTAATGGGGTAGCCGTTTTTCAGAGAGCCATGGTAGCCGTCCTCAAGGACTTCATCCCTGATAAGGTTGAAGTTTTTCTAGATGACTTTCCTATAAAAGGACCAGTAGACAGGGATGAGACAGAGGTTGTACCTGGAGTTAGAAGATTCGTCGAGCAGCACCTAACAGATATTTGCGCGGTACTCGAGCAGCTGGACGATGCGAATTTAACAGTCAGCGGAACAAAGAGCCGATGGGCCGTCTCGACTATTAAGATCTTGGGCTTTATCTGTAACTCGAGAGGACGCCGAGCAGATCCGGCGAAGTTAGACAAACTTCTGAACTGGCCGTCACCATTACATAGCCCAACCGAGGTCCGGCAGTTTTTAGGAGTGGTCGGTTACTGGCGTATATTCATAGGGGGGTATGCGGAGAAGGCTGAGCGTTGAGGTTACTCCTTCGAAAGACTGAAAAATTCTACTGGGATTCTTCGCAGGAACTCGCTATGCAAGAACTTAAAGACGAATTTAAGGAGGGAGGACGCGTGTTGGGCGTGCCATTCTTTGACGATGAGACCGAGAGACCCTTCATAGAATCCACGGATGCTGGACCATGTTCAGTAGGTGGTTTGCTGACTCAGAAGGACGTTGGAGGGAAGGAAAGACCGTTAAGATTTGAGAGTAGGACACTTAATACGGCTGAGCGTAACTACAGTCAATTCAAGAAGGAAGTGTTAGCTGTTCTCAGGTGTCTAGACACGTTCAGACACTATATCTATGGGCGACGGTTCATCTTGAGAGTAGACCCCACCGCGGTTGCCTCTGTCCTCCAGAAGGACTTTAGTCTGACGGACCCGACCATTGCCCGATGGTTAATACGGATTCGGCTATACGATTACACGGTTGAGAGGATATCTGGCACTAAGAATGCTAAGGCAGATGGACTTTCGCGCATCCCTCTTGAGGCCGAGCGCCCGATAGTAGTTGGGGTCCTGACTATGGCGGACCCAGGACGCACCGAGCGTTTTCTGGTTAACCTTTACGAGGGCAAATACTGAATGATCGGGCTACATTTGTCAGGAAAGGAGAGTCAAGAATCAGATATCCAGAGGCAAGCAGCCCAGTACTGCTTTAGATCTTGCCATCTGTTTCAAAGGCCGGGCGGCTCGGGGATGCCCTTACGAGTAGTCTGTGACCCTGAGGAGAGACAGACAATAGTTGCGGAGCTTCACGACGGGGTAGTCGGAGGACACAGGGGAGTCAAAGGAACCTACGAAAAGGTACGCAGGTTGTACTGGTGGGAAGGACAGTATAAGGACGTCGAGAGGTATTATAGGACCTGCGAAGAGTGCCAGAAGAGARCTCTTGTGAAATACAAAGAGCCACTTCATCCATCCTATCCGACCAGACCAGGAGAGAAGGTACACATCCATCTAGTGAAAATGCCGAAAGGGGTAGGCAATATGAACTACGTCATGAACATACGAGACGATTTCACTGGGTTCGTGGACAGTAGACCTATCAGGAGTAAGGCGGCAAAGGAAGTAAAGAACTTTGTCCTAGAGTACTTATCTAGGTATAGTTGTGTCAGCAAGATAGTGATGGACAGAGGGGCGGAATTCCTAGCCGACGAGGTTCAGAGCGTGTTCAGGAGAGTCRGGGCGAGAGTTTCGATAGCCACCGCCTATCACCCACAGTCGAACTCCCCAGTAGAGAGGGGACACCAGACTCTGATAGCGTCACTGTCCAAGTGGTGCAAGGGTAAGGACAGTGATTGGCCACGATATTTTCGATACGCAATATGGGCGGACAATGTCACGGTCCGGGCTAGTACCGGATACCCACCGTACACCTTGTGGTTTGGGCGACATTGTCCGCTTCCCATAGAGTTTCACGTCGACAGCTGGACAACCRTYGACTGGGCGGAGGAGATGTCTAGAGAGGAACTCATAGCTGCCCGAACAAGACAGATAGCCTACGGTTTGGAAGATAACCTTATGACAGCGGCAAATCGTCTGGCAGTGGAAAGAGACAAAGGTAAAGAGAGATGAGATAAAAACGTGAGAATCAGGAAGGAGAGGGTGAGTGTAGGAGATATGGTCCTTCTCTACGATGCAGCGCTGGAAAGAACCTGGACCGGTAAACTCGCCAACAGATGGATGGGACCTTACAGAGTGGTTGAGGCACTCGACTGGGGTGCATATATGATAGCAGAATTAGACGGATCCAAGTGGAAGGACCCAGTGGCGGGTGCAAGGTTAAAGCTGTTTAGGCCCAGGCCCGCGCCCATCTTATCGCTGACAAGCCCAAAAGGGAAAGGGAAAACCAAAATGGAGGATGGAGCCCCTCGAGACGATTCGAGGCAGGAGAGAGTTCCAACAAGAGGAAAAGAATAGAGAAAAGAAAGGTCAAGGGGTTGGCTTTAGGAAGAGAAAAGAAATGGTTATTCGTGCTAAAAAAACTAGACGGAGAGTTCGCATTAGAGAGACTGGTGAGACGGCACCCTTCTCGGACCAACGACAAAAGAAAAAGAGGATCGTGCCAAGGTAAGAAACCAGAAGAAAAAGGGAAGTCAAGAAACATCTTCTTAGCCCCAGAACTCTTAACAAATCGAAACTTAAGACAATTAAACGCTGACGTGAGCGACCTTTACGGGCAATCACCCTGAAGCTCGTCCGCTTCGTTTGACATGATAGGTTAGGGCTCAACGGGGGCGTCGAGAAGTGGTCCGGGCTAACTGTCAGGCGGCCACAAGCAGTGCGCCGCCTGAAATCTGCGGCTTTGGGACTTAGACTCATAGGCAAGTCCGTGTTTTGACGGTACTCTGGTTCGGCTAGGCAACAAAAATTAGGGGACCTTTGGGCACCTTTGACTTTGGGCACATTGAACCTTACAAGTAGCCCTCAAAGATAGCGAGATGGGTGGGCGCACTCGGCGTATCTAGAGACCGTCATTTCCGGTCGTTCAGAGGGCTGCAGCTGGATTGGTCTGCCGCGAGGAGGCATTGCGGGAACAGACCTCGCCGTGACGCTTTTGCAGCATACGACCGGGGCCGAAATGAGGCCTCAAATTTTTGTGTATCTTAGTGCCATAATTAAAGATGGGGAAAAGGGATTAAGAACAGTAGGGGAGAGGGAAAAACATAATATCCCTTAATTTCTCTATTTTTCACGGCATTTAATTCTAGGGGGAATACCCTTGTTATTTTATGTTCCCGACAATGAAATTAAAAACATAGAAAACGATTAAAAATAGTAAGAGAGAAAAGAAACAAAAGGAATTCGGCCAATTATTTAAACTTTCTCGGAATTGAATTTTGGGGATCTTACGGTTAATTTGCTATTTTCAACGATAGAATTAAGGAAAGGGAAGAATGATGAAAAATGATGAAAGGGACGGGAACCCATGATTATTGGGAGATTGGCCTAATTTCGCCTCGATTACCCGCCATTAGCTCTGACCCCGGATTGAACATTTTTCCCGGATTTTAACAGTTTTCACTACTGCCGATGGTCGACGTTCCCTGCGTCGCTTTCCCTGGTTTGCTTGATTACTAACATTACCGCAGTTGGGATGTTCTTAGAGCGGGAGTCGCGTGGACAGCATGGGGTGGTACTACCTTGCATCGACTATGGTGTTTGGTTCAGTACGGATACGAGGGTTGTTACGGAGTGGCTACGTCCTACGGTGTCTGACGTGCTTCAGGTGCGGTGTGGGCCCGGTGACAGTTGTTTCACTACAGTGACTTATTTTCAGGTTTGGGACAGCTACGGTGATTTATTCTCAGGACCGGGGCTACTACGACAGTTATTCCAGGTTTGGAACTTTGGCGGCAGTTTGTTTTCAGGTTCGGAAACGTTGCGGCATTGTATATCAGGTTCGAGACAGTTACGGAATTATCATGGCATGGTTGTACGGGTTCGACATCCTCGTGGCACAACAGCCCAGTACTGGATTTTGGGTCTGGTCAGGTTCGGTGGCATCGTGGTGTCTCGTTTCAAGTTTGACGCTCTCACGACGATTTATTTCAGGTTCGGGACCTCTGCGGTGATTTATTTTCAGGTCCGGGACCACTGTGACGATTTATTTCAGGTTTGGAACCTCTGCGGTGATTTATTTTCAGGTCTAGAACGACTACGGTAGTTCATTTCAGATTTGAGACGTTGGCGGCAGTTTATTCCAGGTTCGGCGTTATCTCAGGTATATAACCTAGGCTCGGCACCGTCACTGCGGCCATTTATTCCAGGTTTGGTGCCACTATGGCGCTTTATTTCAGCTTTGGGACCACTACGCCAGTCTACTGAACTGGGAATGGACATCAGGCAGGCCCGGTCGGGGGTGCCTGGCGCTGCAATTGACCGGGGGCCAGCCCCGAGTGATTTTGGAACAACGACGGACTGAGGCCCTCTTTGAGCGTCCTGCGTGAATACAAGGCGGAGAGTTGGACGGAGGGGGATATAGG